GAAAAGATTTTGTGCATGTGTAAAAAAGTTTTGTGCACACAGATATAATTTGCTCGTGTAAAAACATTTTGCAGCTGTAGAAATATTTTGTGCGTGTTTGAAAAGTTTTTGCAGATATAATTTGCCCGTGTAAAAAAGTTTTGCAGGTGTAGAAATATTTTGTGCAAGGATATTTACAACAGTGAGGTTTCACAAAGTCTGAGATACGGACACACAAATTTCCTATCTGTGTGTGCGAACCTGAAGTTACAAGCTACAAGCTGCTATTTACGAGTACGAATTTTTACCCTGTTTTTACGCCTGAGTATGTTAGCCAATCAGCACGTAGCCCACTGACCATCCAATCATAGGACACAAGGTTCTAACGCGTTCGTTTTGCTGACCTGCGCCACTTGGAGCGTGCTTGCGGGAGTCAACATGGAGGAGCCCGAGGCGAACTCTTCTGGGACACAGGTGGGTTAATTACATGCTACCACGGAACATGCCACTACAGTTTTAATTAACTAACGTTACATCGTAATTAACTAAATATATCAAGACAGCTGTGCGTGCATCCCGGAGTTACTTAAATTGTATATTTAACGCTAGCTAGTTGATGTGGTCTTTGCTATTGTCTTAGCTAGCTACAGTCTGTTGGCTAAATTAACGTTTGTTGTTGTTGTGCCGTTTGAATGAGTAACGTTAATGTTAAAGAAAGTAATGCAAACGTTAGTTAGTTGAAGGTCGAGAAGGTTCAGTTTCCAATCGTACATTGTATTTGGGTTTATTTATGTTCAACGGCCGCCTGTCTGATATATTGTGGCTTTACAAAAACGTTAATTACTAGTTGTAATTATGGATAGGCCTACATGTAGGTGAAACAATGATAGTGATACATACTTAAGATGGATACAGAGAAGAAAGTTATCTATCTTTGGAGCTTATAATTTGCACGGGAAGTATTATATAGAACTGGGACACCGCTAAAATGATATCCTCTTCCATCTTGATTCTGCTCCAAATTCAACTGCAGCTTGATTTCATTTAGCTGCCTGCTGCGAACTGTCCACCACTGATTGCTGTGATCTGATCTATGAATTCAAGTCGCAGCGAAATATCACACTCGCATCGTTTCATTAGTGGTTCGCCATCGTTGACTTCCCCTCGGCACCTCCCCTTGGGGCATCTTAACAGTCTAATATTTTATACTAGTTTGATTAGCATCGTCTGTTATTTGTTTGTTCCTATTGCATATTCAAATAGCCTACATATTATTCCTCACTCTCCCCCGTTTTCTCCACTCTGTCTCTCTTTTATGGAGAAAAGGAGAGTTGAGACAGACCTCTGATACATAAAGTCACCGGTACAATCCTGGGCTAATCCTCTGCACTTTACTATTTGTTTCTGCGGTCCTACTTCCTAGTATTCTTTTAATGACATAATGGGCATAGACCCAGCTAGTTTTGTGACCATAAAATGTAAATTATATGTAGTTCGCTGTTAAACATTTTGGAGTAGGCCAACAGCAACCAATATTTCTAATTAAATGGTTAAATACCTGATATTACTGACAAAGTTGTTTTCTGTTGGTAAATTTGTTGCTAGGCATCCTTGGGGTAGCTCTGCTCTCTTTGCTATCTGACTGAACATTATCTTGCCTCCTAATATTAAACCTAGTTGAGACTAGTATTATAACAATATCCAATAATTAAGTGATTGTTTGCTTCACTAGAACAATGAAAATGCCATTGTATCTGTGCTTCCCTCAACCATGGATCACCCAGGCACTTCTGCTGAGTCTCAGGTGGGTTATCATACAGTTTAGTTATTTCTGTCAACAATATCAGTATCAGCTGTGCAGCACAACCAACTTATCTCTATGCTGTACAGGAAAGCAGGTTGCTTTATTTCTCTGTTGATATCCTACCACCTCAAGCTGCGACTTGGGGTTGTGATTTCACTTCACTTAGCCACTTGTGCATTTGTATTACAAATCATTCTGAATTTTAAACCTAACGCTTGTTTAGGTTAAGTTGCTGTAGTTTCTGTATTTTTTAGCATCTGCTAGCATCTTTAACTGTTTATCTGTATTCCACACATTTTCCAACAAAGCCTGATGTCAGTACTTTTATATAAAAGCACATTTTCTGACCTCTTTGTCAGGTGATGGTGGGAAGGCATGTTCTCAACCGACTGCAGTCTAGATTGGAGCAGGCCTCTCAGCGACAGCCCTTAAACCTAGACTATCTGGAGTTCATCTGCATGAGTGAAATGACTCTAATCTGTTCACTCTCAGCTCACATACATTTCCCACAGGAGGTAGGTTAAATTGTCTTTTTTCCATGTGGCTTGATATTTCAAGACAGCTGTGTTCAATTACATCACCGATACAACATTTTAGGTACTTGAAGGTCTTCTCCAGCTGGTCACCCGCATCACCACTGAAGTAGACGGGAGAAGGACAACAGTTGTGGTTGACAGGACTGTTGGAGAAAGGGGGCGTCCAAAGCTGGTTGTTTCCAAAGACCACCTCCAGAACTTGATTGAAATGGACCTGTCAGTCCCCTGTATATCCAAACTGCTTGGCATATCATGCAAAACAGTCCGCCGTAGGATGCAACAATGGGGCCTCTCAATAAGGGAAAGCTACAGTAAAATGACTGACGACGAGCTTGACAGCTTGGTCTCAGCAATCAAGGAAGACTCTCCAAATTTGGGTAGTTCCTTCCTTCTTCAACCAGTTTTGTAAAGATTTTCTGTGAAGTATAACATACTTTTGTCCTTGGCATGAAACACAGACGCTAAGCCATAGCAGTAACTTTTAAAGTGACATTTAGCTTCTTCAGTACAATGGTTGTCACAGTTTGTATCCCTGAGAAATGGTCAGAGGCCTAAATTGTTTCACAACTCAATTCACACAATATCAGTTTATCCCTCATTTTCCCTCTAATGATAACAATATTCTTTAAAGACAATCTTTTTCACTTTACCTTCACAGGTCACAGGATGGTAAAGGGACGTCTCAAGGCTTTAGACCATAGAGTTCAGTGGACTAGAGTGTGGGAGTCAATGCACCGTGTTGATAGTCTTGGAATACTTGAGAGAATGACCAGCCTTGGGTGTGTTGTGCGAAGAACCTACAGTGTTCCAGCTCCTCTTTCACTCCTACATGTCGATACCAACCATAAGTTGATCAGGTAAGCTGACACCAAAGGGATGCATGCGCACACACACACACTGTAATAGTTATACGTAATTGGTCTGAAATTATATTCTTTAGGTGATGTGAAGAAACCCAGATGTAGAGTCATGATTTTATGCTGATTTTATAGCCTTACTGGAAGAAGCTGTTAAAGACTTCTAATAGCCATAATAAATAACTGTATGGCCTACTCAACACAAATGCTCCTTACAACCCGCTGCAATAGACGATGAGCGATTCATG